AAAAAAAAAAAGTAAGGAAATTGAGCAAAATTATTTTGTTTTTATTGACAACTTTGTGTTAATCAAGTGAAATTGCATGCACACAAAAGGCCTTAATTAAACTTAGAAAAATTAATTTGATTTAATTATCTAGCAACTTTATATATTTTTTATTAAAATCAATTTGTCATAAGAGGTCAATTCTAAATTAAACTTGTAAGAAAGTAGTTTTATTTTTACATCCTTAATTTTTGTTTTCCTTATTCGTTGGTAAATAAAATACTGAATATTTCTTACTTTCACAGGAAACTATTTGCTTGTGAAAGTTCTCCCACAGATATATGCTGTCAACAAAGAACCAATTCATGACCACGTGATGGCACTAGTTTCCTTGTTGCCTTTGTGCGAGAACTCTGAGAAGATAATCCTTCTAAAATTATTTAGTTTAATTGCCAAAAACAAACCTTCGGTGAGCATACATTACTTTACTAAACTTGTGGTAATGAACTACAATAAAAAAAAAAACCTTATAGCTGAAAACTATGTAGAGTTACTCTGGAGAACTTATGAATTAAATTAGCCACTGTAACAACCAGCTGCCATTAAATTTGCATCTGAACTTTATGGTTATTAGAAGACTCCTGTATCTTGAGTTGTTAATTTGATCCTGAAATGAGTTGAGTTGGTATCAGTGTTATAAAAGCCAGACAACTTCTGTTCATATCAAAATAATTTTCAGCTGTTAAATGCACTATTAGTTACTCGGGTATATTAGCGTGTACCACACACACACGTTCTGCTATACATCTGTAAGCTGTACATACAAAAAAAGTGTGTACGTACAAATGCTTTAAAATGTGGCACATATAACTATCTTTACCCAGTTATTAATAATTGTAATTTAAAAGGTGTATTTAATTTTGGTTAAAATGAGATTACATTTTGAGTTGAATATATATATATAAAAATGTTTGTGAGATTAATGCACTCTTCATTTGATTTATGGAATTAAAAGATGTGTACGTTACTATGACGGTCATATCTGGTACACATCTGTAAAACTCAAGGAATAACATTGTCTACTAAAGCTCAAAAGTTCAATTCAGATTTGTGGAGTAAAAACTTTGACCAAGGTTTCACTAATGGATATGAGGGCTTATATTTCTAAATCAAATTTTTATATTAATGTAACAATACTGTTCTTTTTCTAACACGTTATCCATTAATTTCTTTGCCTTATGAATGTTTCTCACTGAAATCAGTAACTTCTCCAGACACAAAGCTGCTGGCCCGGTATGGCCAGGTGGATAAGGCGCTCGACTCTTAATCTGAGGGTTGCGGGTTTGAATCCCCGTCCCACCAAACAGGCTCACCCTTTCAGACATGGGGAAGTTATAAAGTGACGGTCAATCCTACTATTTGTTGGTAAAAGAGTAGCTCAAGAGTTTGCAGTGGTGGGTGGTGATGACTAGCTGCCTTCCCTCTAGTCTTACACTGCTAAATTAGGGACGGCTAGTGCAGATAGCCCTCGTGTAGCTTTGCGCAAAATTCAAAAACAAAGGAAGAAACACAAAGCTGCTCATTTATAACAAGTAATAAACGTCTGTTTTTGCTAGATTATAATGCTTCACTTTAAGGTTTCTTGTTAGGATATTCAACTCTTTCCAACATTCTAGTACTTTTATCATATTCACTGATTTGTTTGACATAAGGCATTAAGTATTATACTAAGTTATAACTTTTATAGTATTCTGTTAGATTTTCCAAAAACCATTTTCAAAGATTTATCAATTTTTTTTCTACTGAGCTAGCACATATTGTCTTTCAACCTGCAGAGAAATAAAAGGACACAGGTTTAATCCATTAACTTAAAATATCATTGCATAAAAATAGAAGATTGAATTATGTTTTTTCTTTTTTATTTCAACCTCAATCAGTATATGTTATCAGACTCATTTTGTGAGTGTGGGTGTATTAAAATAATCTATGATATCATATTTTCTAGTTATTGGAGAGCAATTTGCCACAGTTGAGTGAGTGCCTGACGATCTCGAGTTGTGTTATGTGCGTACTTCAGATATTCCTTGACATGGCTGCAATCCGTCCCTTACCATTTACAGAACATCAGCAGAAGATGAAGGCAGTGGGAGAGCAGCAGCCTGGGTCGCTACCTCTCGTAGCTCGCATACTTGGGATCATTGGGAAGTTAAGCCTGGTTTGTATGAAGTCTTTTTTTTTTTAGGGTTGTTATCCTGTATGCGGTACATGCAAAATCATTAAACATGGTTTATATGAACATTTAAAATAATCTTTAATAAGTAATTTTAATCAGAAGAGTAAGTTATTACTTAAAATTAGTGGAAATCTGGTTTGTATAAAAGTGATTTATTTTGTCTCAACTTATAAATTAAGTAGTCACTGAAAAAAACTGAGAATGTACAAACGTTTGTTAGGTTATTCTTGAAGTGTGTCTGATATAAGTGTTGTAATTAACCTAGTTTTTGCAAGTTAAACTATAATAGAATGCAGTTGTGCTTTTGTGAAAAATCATAAATGGTTAAAAAATAAAGAAAAGTCGCATATGTTGTTTCTAATACCTTGAAGTTATTTCTTTTTTCATATTAGAGTATAATAATATAATAAACAATTTATTTATTATTCGGTAACTACTTGTACCTGATGATGACATAATCTTGTCGAAACATTGTGCATTTATAATAGTTTTCTTTTATTAAATGAAATTAGTAATTCTAGTTCTATTTCAACAATTTGTTACAAAAAGTATTTTAGAATAAATATTTTGTCACTTTTAACATTTATTTAGCTTAACTTGTAAAGAAAAATGAAAAAAGTTTTTCGACTTACATTTGTGCACAGCTCCATCTGTAGACAATAAAATTATTGATCTTTTTAGAATTTTCTTGGCTTTTCCAAAGTGTAGGTTTTGGTTTAGTTGCTAAGAAACTACCTTTGAGTATTATTTTTGGAGGTTTTATTTCTTGTGTTATTTTCCGTCTCTTTCTCTGTTTTTTTATTACACACTGCTGTTACTACCCTAAAAAAAGCTACAGCCAGAGTTTGAAAACCATCGGATAGAGCAGATTATACGCTATTTACCTCTATGTCAGTCGAATAAAGTGGTGTGAGAAAGAATTAGATATAGCTCCTGGAGAGAACAACAAAATTTAGTGGGAAATTTAAAAGGCTTAGGAATAAATCGCAGATCTGGGAATTTTTGTATAATTTCTTTAGATATTGTTTTTATTCTTGAAAATATTGTTATTTAGCCTAACTGAATGACATTGCGACAGATCGGGTCATAGGCCACTGATAATAAAAATATCTTGCCAGTTTTCACCATGTTTTTACGATTTATAACCGAAAGTGCTGATTAGGCAAAATACAAAAACTGTGTATGTATGTGTGTGTGTGTGTGTGTAACTTTCTGATATCAACAGTAAAAGCAGGAAGTATTTTTAATGATATTTTTTCTAAACATTGTTCGTCTAAAATTTTGGAGGTTTTACGGTGTATAACAATACACTATTTAGTGAGTTTTTTATTTACTAAGATTCACAAACTTTGGTTAAGTATTTCCTCTCTGAGAAGGAAAACAAATCAAGATGTTAACAACACTCCAGTTCATTAAAGGTCAGTTGCAAAACTTAACATACTTTATGTTTAACAAAATGATTGGTCTTTGGAATGGGTTGCTTTCAGATGTGGTAGATGCTGTGAATTTAAGGGAATTCTTGATAGATATTCAAGTGATAAATGTTTTTATTTTCATTTTATAAAGTTTAATTTTAATGGATAGATGAACCATCAGTTTCACCTGCTGTTCTTAAATTTTAGGTATTATTCTCATTTAGTTTGATTAACTCCTCTTGCCCACCAACAGAAGTTTCACCCAGTTTTCCATATATTTTTTTATACAGTGCCTGTGTGAGCTAAAAAAAAAACTGCTACGTTATATTTTTTAAGATTGTTTTTAATTTTCTCTGATAGCTGTATTAAAAAAGAATGTTTTATTAGTGTGTAGAATAAAAACAATTATATTTCCAAGACAATTCACAGAACTTTGGCCTCTGGGATGAAGTTCATTTTCTTTTGTTTTTTTGATAAATTCAGTCTTTTTTTTTTAATTTATTGTAAATGTTAAGTATTATGTTGGATTTGTGTAACTTGTAGCTTTTTTTTTTAATCTATTTAATTGATTTTTATTTTTTTTAATTTGTTTTCTTATGACTGAAATAATGTGAATCTTTAGAGAATAAAGAACATTTTTTAAAATTGTAAACAGGAAAGAGGAAAAGACTGTTTAGATTACTTGGTAGCCCAACTAGCTAAAACTGACCATTCAAGTTTGCATGCCTTGTTAAGAGAAATCAAAGGGATAACGGAAGTCTATCCTGTGCTCTTGCCACGCTACCTGCCTGATATCTGTAGTCAGGCTGAAGGGTCCACCTCAACAGCTCGGTGGTACATTCAGGAGCTGAAAGCAGACTATGCAAATCCTAAGTAAGCTTTTTATCATTTGCTAGTATGTAATATTCTGTGTCATGGTTTTTGTCTTGTTTTGATTTCTATGGGCTGAGCATGTCTAATTGGTTTGCCAGACTATGGACCTGAGGTTCCATCGTTTGCGTTAATCTGGTTCAGTAATAGTAACTAAAATTAGCATGCAGATGTTAATTTGGCTTGGAAGTAGATGTTGGTAACTGAACCCAATGGATGTTAATTTGACTTGGGAGTAGGTATTAGTAACTGAAATTGGCATACCAGATGTCAATCTGGCTCAGAAACATGTAACAGTAACCGAAGTTAACATACCAACATTAATCTGGCTCAGAAGTGTTTTTTGCACATCTTTGAATAATGCCATTTCATATTTTTTTGAGTGAATAGTTAATTGCAAATGGAAACAGGTATATCTCGGTGAAACAGTTGTTGTTTCTTTAAAAGTTAGGCTAATTGTCAAGCGTGTACATATTAAAGTAAAAATTATGATGAAAATAAATTATCCTGAAATAAAGTCATGGTAATCAAAGAAGTTTTCTTTTGTATTTAAACTTATAAATTCTTTTATCTCAGCATTAATTTGCTAAACTGGACTTGTACGCTTTTACTTGTTATGCTATATGTATTAGTATTTTGAATATTATTAGTAGTGCAGGAATTCGTTAGTAGTTTGTTTTGTAATTTCAGATCAAAATGGTAATGTTATTAAGACCAAAGAGATCAACTTTTAATTAAAAACTTATCGTTGCTGAGGTAAATAATTGATACTTCTGTAATAGCAAATGCATGACTTTCATCAATTTTCATTGCATAACTTAATTACATTAATTACAAAATCCCCCCCAAAAAAGTACCTTGCATAAATTAATTGAGAATATTTTTTCTCCCCCTCCCATTTATCAGTCGTCACCAACATCACTTGAATCAGACTTCTGGGGGCATCACGATTGTTCGAGTCGGAGGCAGCAAGCAAGACTTGGTTGCTATGACAACATCTACGAACAGTATAGTAACAACTCTCTGCACCACAACAGTCATGTCAGTAACAACCCCCATAACGTCCACAAAGTCTGGTATGCAGAGTAATGTAGCTGGTCTGTCTCGAGAGAGCCGAGGAAATATAGCTAATTCAAAACACAGCCTGGTGACTGTACCAGAGCGAAGATCACTTAGTCAACTGCTTTCCAACCAACCTATGAACCGTAGCTTAAGTAGGCTTTCGACAGCTGGAGGAATTATGGGTAAGAAGAGTAAAGAAAATTACTGTTGCATTATATTATAAAACTCCAAGTTGTTCTGTTTTGGGTTTGTTTTTTTTTTAGTCCTGCATTACTAATTGAGATTGTCTTTCTTGGTGTAACAAATAAAAATAAATGGTGCATATAAAAAGAAACTGGAAAATACACTGCCTTAAACTGAATGTGGTCTTTCCTGAATGTCATTGTAATCAACCCGGGGTGATGCTAGAATTAAATACACTAACAAAAAATAAGAAACGTTTGATTGGTTTTTTGTTTGACTATTTAAGCTGATACTGTTTTCTTCTTATGCTCCGGTGCGACACTGGTAAGTCTATTGACTTACAATGTTAAAGTCCAAGGTTTGATGCCTTTTTCTTATTCACTGGTAAGTCTATTGACTTACATTGTTAAAATCCAAGGTTTGATTCCTTGCAGTGGACACAGCAGATAGCCCAATGTGGCTTTACTTTCTTTGTCTGCAGTTATTCTACCACATGATGTTAATGTGTGTAAAAATTCTATATTCAACTATAGTATTATTTCTGATTGCTCATTGAAAAGTTTAACTTGTAAATTATCAAGTACTAAGCATAATTGGTTCTGGTTATGGGTCACATTTACAAGTCCTGACGAGTTTGTAGTAGACCACATGCTGGTACTTTTGTGTGGGCTTATAAAAAAAATATTAAAACTTTCCTTTTGAATTATGAAAACTAATTTATAAACTTGAATTTTTATAGTTTTCCCTTATCAGTTTTTTGGACAATGGTCAATCACTTTGCTTCTTAGTTGGTCCCACTTGAGCTTACAAAACATTTAAACAAAAGGTAAAGCAACTTGTGGTAATTTTCTCTTCGTTTATCACAGTTGATTGAGCTGTAGTCAATTAGGTTTCTGTTATAGAAGAAATGACACCTATTTCATATATCGATTGAAAATTGAATTACATGTGAGGCCTTTTTTTGCCATTTATGGTAGTTCATCAAGTGTGATTTTATGAGTGAAATGGTTGTCATAATACCGTTATTTTGTTAACTTGTGTTTGTTCTTAACGTAACATATCATGTAAAAAAACATTTTGTTCTTTTAACGTAAGCCCTGCTCAGCTGGGATACGGGTCATAATTTTATGTCCAATAAATGTAACTGGTCTAGACATGTCGAACCTCATCCAATAAATAAATATAAAATTATGTATGTCCAAAAATAATCATGAGGTTAGTGATACATGGCTTGGAAACTAGTAAAAAAGTTGTGATCTTTTAAAAAATTTAAAGTAGTTTGTGTGACAATAAACATCTACAATTATTTCTCTGTTTACATTGTAGGCTCTCTTTTTTTTTAATTTAACCAGAGTAATTAAGACAGTTTTGAGAGATACAAAGTAGAAATGAAAATTCATTTTTATGTACGCTTTCATATACAAAACGGTATTGCTAATATTTAAATGAGATATTATGACATAATGTTAATAAAGTTATTATCGTTGACTGATAATGTTGGATTAATTTCATGAGAATATGTGTCTTATTTATTTATTCAAAAAATCAACCATCAACCGGTGTTTACTTTCTTTTTCAGTTCATCACAGTAATGGTAGACTGAGTTCTCCAACTGGACGAGCTGTCAGTATGACTAAGCTAAGTTCTGGATCTGGTGTTAACAAAAGTTTCACGGCCCTCAACAACCGACACACTGTGGCTTCCCAGACTTCTCGAATAACAAGTGGTGGTGTGACGATCACCACCTCGGCCACAACTGCAAAACAGAAGAGTTTTAGGTAATTGTTTTTTTTTTTTTATAATCAGTACTTGAAACTCCATAATTACAAAATGGAGGAAAACAAAGATAATTTTATTTATTACGACCATGGTTTTGCCTGTACCAGATGATGCCTTTACTGCAAAAACATGTTTATAATAAACGTTACGTTTGT